CATTTATGATCCTAATTGGATGAAATTTGGCACAGCTCATTTGTTTGGCCCAAGGACGAACCCTATTGAAATTGGGAAAAATCTGTTCAGATTTAGATATAGCTCCCATATATATTTTCGTCCGATTTTAGGTAAATGGGGTACCAAAGTCCCTATATATCTTTCGATGTGCACGAAATTTGGTATAGCCTACTGAATTAGGGGTAGAATGATGTGTGCTAAGTTTCGTGATAATCGGTTGAGATTTAGATATAGCTCCCATATATAGTTTCGCCCGATTTTAGGTAAATGGTGCACCAAAGTCCCTGAAACTCATTCAATTTGAACGAATTTTGCCATAGTTTGGTGTGTGCTAAGTTTCGTGAAAATCGGTTCAGATTTAGATATAGCTCCCATATATATTTTCGTCCGATATAAGGTAAATGGTAACTTATGTGGCTCAATGACGAACCCTATTGAAATTGGAGAAAATCGGTTCCGATTTAGATATAGCGCCCATATATATTTTCGTCCGATTTTATGTAAATTGAGCACCAAAGTCCTTGAAAATCAATTTTCACGAATTTTGGCACAGCGTACGGTATAAAGCATAGAAAGATGTGTGCTAAGTTTCGTGGAAATCGGTTCAGATTTAGGTGTAGCTCCCATATATAGTTTTGCCCGATTTTAGGTAAATTGTGCGCCAAAGCCCATGAAAATCATTCAATTTCCACGAATTTTTGGGACAGCGTACTGAAATAAGTCTAGAAAGATGTGTGCTAAGTTTCGTGGAAATCGGTTCAGATTTAAATATAGCTCCCATATATAGCTTCGCCCGATTTTAGGGAAATTATGCACCAAGGACCCTATATATTCTTCGATTTGCACGAAATTTGGCACAGCGTACTGAATTAAGTCTAGAAAGATGTGTACTAAGTTTCGTGAAGATCCCTTCAGATTTAGATATAGCTCTTATATATTTTCGTCCGATTTAAGGTAAATTTTGCATAACGTATGAAATTGAGACGTGGATGGCGTTATGGGGTTTTGTTGAAATTGGTGCAGATGCAGCCATAGCTTCTATATGTATTCCGAACGGGTGTCTGATTGAGATAAAATTTTTAACTATGCGGCGTACCGAACAGCTTGTATCAATTTTATTTTAAATCGGTTTCCATAAATGTGTCCCATGGTACGCAGACGACTTTAAATCTGCCCGAATGAAATTAAATTTATCATATGTTGCAGAAAGACATGAGTATGTTCCTTCAAAGGAACTTTGACATACAATTGTAAGGATACTTATATACAATATACCCAAGTGGTGAAGAGTATCATATAGTCGGCCCAGTCCGACTTTACTACTTTCCTTACTGGTTCATAATAATTTTTAAGTGTTTTCCCATTTAATAGACTTACCACAACCTCAATTTGTATCGGCTCTACCGATTTAAAAGGTCTCAAATGTTCATCCAACACCACTACTCTGAATTGCACAACATCGCCGGGTTTATAGATGCTCTTATCAGTTTGGGTGTAAATTTTCAGGTTATCCATCTCATCACTTTTTAGTATAGATGCATTGTAAAAACTTAAACCTTTAATAGCCTCAACTTCGAGTCTGTACTCCAAACTTGTATCCAATTTTGGTGGCAGAAAATTAATCGATTTTGTTTCGAATGGTTGTATTTCGATATTTTCGACAAAAGTGAATTGGGGCTGTCCCATGAGAGTAATACGTACTGTAGAAGATGCTGGAGCATTGTGTAGGGTTAAACAAACGGTATAATTTCGATTTGATTTAATTGTACCAGGAGCCACAACGGAATAATAGCTGTAAATATTTGTAAAGGTTATTTTAAGGTAGTCATTTTTTGGAACAATTGAAAGTGTGAATATTCTAACCTTTCCGCTATTGTTGATGTAATTAAGAGGGGCAGTGTAAGCTGCAGCAAAATCCCATGTAGCCGCATTTCTTGCGAGCGGTCTTTAAGCGACTGAATGCATTGATATGAAATTAATATATTTTCTAATAAGAAAAATTACAAAATGTGATAAGCTATGGCAGAGAAACGTGATTTGCAATTAGATTTAGCAGCCACCATAAAAATCAAATTAGAATTCAGTATACGTTGGATCCATCAATGCGTCATGTCTACCTATGAAGTCACGTTATCGCTACGTCTGTATGCCCTACATCACACTTTGGTACATGGTGCATATTTTTATAACATCCTCAATTGAGCAAGATAGACCCAAAGTTTTTATACCCTTCACCACACTGTGGTACAGGGTATTATGTCTTTGTGCATATGTTTGTAACAGGCAAAAATAATCGAGATAGACCCATGGTTCCTTTTGAGAATATGCATAGAATCACTTTCTGAGTCGATTTATGCATGTTCGTCTGTCTGTCTGTCCATGTTAAATTGTAAACAAAGTACAGGTCGTATTTATGATCCGAATTAGATGAAATTTGGCATAGGTCACTTGTTTGGCCCAAGGACGAACCCTATTGAAATTGGGAAAAATCGGTTCAGATTTAGATATAGCTCCCACATATATTTTCGTCCGATTTAATGAAAATGGTCCCTATATATCTGTCGATTTAAACGAAATTTGCCACAACGTAAAGAATTAGGTCTGGAATGATGTGTGTAAAATTTCATAAAAATCGGTTCAAATTTAGATATAGCTCCCATATATATTTTCGTCCGATTTTTTGTAAATGGTGCACCAAAGTCCCTATATATCATTCGATTTGCACGAAATTTGGCACAGCGTAATGAATTAGGTCTAGAATGATGTGCGTTAAGTTTTATGAAAATCGGTTCAGATTTAGATATAGCTCCCATATATATTTTCGTCCGATTTAATGTAAATGGTGTACCAAAGTCCCTATATATCTTTCGATTTGCACGAAATTTGGCACAGCGTACTGAATTAGGTCTAGAAAGATGTGTGCCAAGTTTCTTGAAAATCGGTCCAGATTTAGATATAGCTCCCATATATATTTACGTCCGATTTAATGAAACTGATGTACCAAAGTCCCCATATATCTTTCGATTTGCACGAAATTTGGCATAGCATAATGAATTAGGTCTACAATTATGTGTGTTAAGTTTCCTGAAAATCGGTCCAGATTTAGATATAGCTCCCATATATATGGCCCGATTTAATGTAAATGGTCCACCAAATACCTTATATATCTTTCGATTTCTACGAAATTTTGCACAGCGTAATGAATTAGTTCTAGAATGATGTATGTCAAGTTTCCTGAAAATCGGTCCAGATTTAGATATAGCTCCCATATATAATATCGTCCGATTTAATGTAAATGGTTCACCAAATACCGTATATATCTTTCGAATTGTGCGAAATTTGGTATAGCGTAATGAATTAGGTCTAGAATGATGTGTGTTAAGTTTCGTGAAAATCGGTTCAGATTTAGATATAGCTCCCATATATATTTTCGTCCGATTTAATGTAAATGGTGTACCAAAGTCCCTATATATCTTTCGAATTGCACGAAATTTGTCATAGCGTACTGAAATCGGTGCAAATTTAGATATAGCTCCCATATATAGTTTCGTCCGATTTTTTTTTAAATGGTACACCAAAGACCCAACATTAGGCCGATTGACACAAAATTTTAGACAACGTACTGAAGTTCATATAACCTAGCAATTGAGCAAGATAGACCCAAAGTTTTTATACCCTTCACCACACTGTGGTACAGGGTATTATGTCTTTGTGCATATGTTTGTAACAGGCAAAAATAATCGAGATAGACCCATGGTTCCTTTTGAGAATATGCATAGAATCACTTTCTGAGTCGATTTATGCATGTCCGTCCGTCTGTCTGTCTGTCCATGTTAAATTGTAAACAAAGTACAGGTCGTATTTATGATCCGAATTAGATGAAATTTGGCATAGGTCACTTGTTTGGCCCAAGGACGAACCCTATTGAAATTGGGAAAAATCGGTTCAGATTTAGATATAGCTCCCACATATATTTTCGTCCGATTTAATGAAAATGGTCCCTATATATCTGTCGATTTAAACGAAATTTGCCACAACGTAAAGAATTAGGTCTGGAATGATGTGTGTAAAATTTCATAAAAATCGGTTCAAATTTAGATATAGCTCCCATATATATTTTCGTCCGATTTTTTGTAAATGGTGCACCAAAGTCCCTATATATCATTCGATTTGCACAAAATTTGGCACAGCGTAATGAATTAGGTCTAGAATGATGTGCGTTAAGTTTTATGAAAATCGGTTCAGATTTAGATATAGCTCCCATATATATTTTCGTCCGATTTAATGTAAATGGTGTACCAAAGTCCCTATATATCTTTCGATTTGCACGAAATCTGGCACAGCGTACTGAATTAGGTCTAGAAAGATGTGTGCCAAGTTTCTTGAAAATCGGTCCAGATTTAGATATAGCTCCCATATATATTTACGTCCGATTTAATGAAACTGCTGTACCAAAGTCCCCATATATCTTTCGATTTGCACGAAATTTGGCATAGCATAATGAATTAGGTCTACAATTATGTGTGTTAAGTTTCCTGAAAATCGGTCCAGATTTAGATATAGCTCCCATATATATGGCCCGATTTAATGTAAATGGTCCACCAAATACCTTATATATCTTTCGATTTCTACGAAATTTTGCACAGCGTAATGAATTAGTTCTAGAATGATGTATGTCAAGTTTCCTGAAAATCGGTCCAGATTTAGATATAGCTCCCATATATAATATCGTCCGATTTAATGTAAATGGTTCACCAAATACCGTATATATCTTTCGAATTGTGCGAAATTTGGTATAGCGTAATGAATTAGGTCTAGAATGATGTGTGTTAAGTTTCGTGAAAATCGGTTCAGATTTAGATATAGCTCCCATATATATTTTCGTCCGATTTAATGTAAATGGTGTACCAAAGTCCCTATATATCTTTCGAATTGCACGAAATTTGTCATAGCGTACTGAAATCGTTGCAAATTTAGATATAGCTCCCATATATAGTTTCGTCCGATTTTTTTTTAAATGGTACACCAAAGACCCAACATTAGGCCGATTGACACAAAATTTTAGACAACGTACTGAAGTTAATATAACCTAGCATGTGGAAAGTTTCGTAGAAATCAGTTCAAATAGATATAGATAGATAGGATAGAGCTACCATATATATTTTCTCCCGATTTTAAGTAAATGATGCATCAAGAACTCAAAACCACGTTTTTCAACGGAATTGGCTTTAATTTTCTACGTTTGGTTCATCACATTGGGTATCAAATCTTCCTACCAGAAATAATTAATATTTTTCTACTTTTTAGGCTTGCCCCCTTTATCTCTTAGCCCATGTTTCCGGTTTGGACACATTTTCTACCTAACTGGTTGTAATTTGTTAGTTTTGCTGTGATATGGCAGTACCCCTTATTATTCGGTATTTTGCGGGGTCTTGAGTGCGTGTTTCAACCACTTTTGGATTCTCATTGAGTAGAAAATGTCCCAAAAATTATAAACATTGGTCCATGTTTTTGGGTAGCCCCCAAATAATGGTAATCCATATTATACGGTGTTTTGGACAAGCTTTTAACCCGATTGGCTCAATTTTTTCAGCTTCTCAGGGTTGCCAAATCTTCCTACTAAAAGTTATCAATGCTAGTTTTCGGCTTGATATAGCCAAAGTAGAACAGTACCATTCCATGTTCGGTATTTTGAAGGCTTTGGTATAAAGGGAAGGCTAACTTATATAAAATTTTTCCGTTGTATATATAGTTCCAATTTTTGATAAAACGGCTTATTTCTCGATATTGATAAATATTAATGCGAATTTTCTTCTAGATTTTACATATTGAATTCCTGGCGAATAAGAAATAAATTAAAACCAGTGAGCTGAGCAGTATAGTCGGACGGGGCCGACCATATGATACCCTACACAACTTCCACGAACATTTTTGTGGTTCTATATTCTGAGCTTCGGCAATATTTCGCGATATTTTTACCCCCTTGACCGACTAGAGGTCAACAAATATTAGAAATATTCAGTACAGCAATTCTAATTACTTATCCAGATTCCTTTCAGCGTAGGTTGTGTTGTGATGTTCGGCTTTCTATGTGGCCTATAGATCGATTCAAAAAAACACAAAAAATAAGTTTTCGGTCCACTTTATCCCTAAATTATTATCTGATCATCACCGAAAATTATAGGCGTTGTACTTGACCATAACTAGAACCTCATGGAACATGTCAAAGCGATCAGCGCTATATTTCCGCCCTCTAGTGTGGTAATGGGTTACTAAATAATATCTGAATACGTAAGCACCTGTAAATATTTACGTGTAACGCTCACATCCGAGTACAATCGACAATATAATTGGTATAGATTTAAAGGCCAACCACTCCTCTTGGATATACTATCAACTTATAAAAATTATTTACACTATTGAAATTGGGAAAATCGATTCAGATTTAGATATAGCTCCCATATATATCTCCGACCGATGTGTGCAAGATGTGTGCAATGTTTCGTGAAAATAGGTTCAGATTTAGATATAGCTCCCATATATATTTTCGTCCGATTTTAGGTAAATAGTGCACCAAAGTGCCTACATATCCTTCGATTTTCACGAAATTGGACATAACGTACTGAATGAAGCCTAGAATGACGTGTGTTAAATTTTGTAAATATCGGTTCAGATTTAAATATAGCTCTCATATATACTTTCATCCGACTTAAGGTAATTGGTTTACCAAGGTCTCTATATATCTTTCGATTTGCACGAAATTTGGCGCAGCGCACTGAATTAAGTCGAGAATGATGTGTGTTAAGTTTCCTGAAAATCGGTTCAGATTTAGATACAGCTCCCATATATATTTTCGTCCGATTTTAGGTAAATGGTGCACCAAAGTCCGTATATATCATTCGATTTGCACGAAATTTGGCATAGCGTACTGAATTAAGTCTAGAACGATGTGTGTTAAATTTCGTGAATATCGGTTCATATTTAGATATAGCTCCCATATATATTTTCGTCCGATTTTATGTAAATGGTGCACCAAAGAGTCTAGACATCCTTCGATTTTCACGAAATTTGGCACAGCGTAATGAATAAGGTCTAGAATGATGTGTGTTAAGTTTCCTGAAAATCGATTCAGATTTAGATATACCTCCCATATAAATGTTGTTCCGATTTAAGGTAAATAGTGCACCAAAGTCCCTATATATCTTTCGATTAGCACGAAATTTGGCATAGCGTACTGAATTAAGCCTAGAATGATGCGTGCCAAGATTCCTGAAAATCGGTTCAGATTTAGATATAGAGCCCATATATATTTTCGTCCGATTTAAGGTAAATGGTATACCAAAGTCCCTATGTATCTTTCGATTTGCACGAAATTTGGCACGGCGTACTGAATTAAGTCTAGATCGGTGTATGTTAAATTTCGTGAAAATCGGTTCAGATTTAGATATAGAGCCCATATATATTTTCGTCCGATTTTAGGTAAATTGTGCACCAAAGTCCCTATATATCTTTCGATTTGCACGAAATTTGGCATAGCGTACTGAATTGAGTCTGAAATGATGTGTGCCAAGTTTCGGGAAAATCGGTTCTGATTTAGATATAGCTCCCATACATATTTTCGCCCGATTTTAGATAAATAGTGCAGGCCGAGTAAATATATACGCTATAGAATACATCTTTTTTTCATTTTTCACACAAAAGTCAGGGTCCATTATTGACCGATCTTTATCAAACAAGGGTGCTTATTCTTTGGCCAATCCTCTTCTCCATGTAAAAATTCGAGATGTTTGGACAATAATAGCGGCCTCTGGAGCGACCAGAAAAACCGACAAAAATTCAGTATTTGGTCCATTTCATCCCCTAAATAGTATCCGATCTTTACCAAAACAATAGGGGTCTTCATTGGCCAGAACCCATCCTACATGCAAAATTTCGTGAAGATTGGTACATAACTGTGGCCTGTATCGTGTTTACAAATTATAATGGACAGACGGACGGACGGACACACATGTCTAGATCGACTCAGCTAGTCGAGATATGACGATCGGTATACTTAAAGGTGGGTCTAGGATCAATATTTCGCGGCGTTACAATCTCTAGGGGCTGTACAAAGCTATAATACCCTGACAATACTCTATGCCAAATTTTTTCTCAATTGGACAAACATTGACAATATTTACATACTATCGGAGGAAAGCAAGTCTGTGAGATATATTTAAATCTGAACCGATTCCAGTGAAGCTTGGCATACATAAATTTGGACTAAATTCAGTACGCTGTGCAAATTTTTGTCTCATTCAGACCAATATTGGGAGTTTGGTGCACCATTTACATAAAATCGGACGAAACTATAAATGGGAGCTATATCTAAATCGGAAATTTAACATAGGTAGCCGAGTGACATATGTATGAATTTATGTTAGTCGGTTCACATATAGATATAGATCACATATTTAAGTTCGTTCAATGTCATGCCAATGTTCTTTCGACAAGAAGGATACCAATGTAGAGTATACCAAAGTGGAGAAGGGTATCATATAGTCGGCTCAGTCCAATTTTACTACTTTCCTTACTGTTTACTTATTAATTTTCCTTATTGGGCTTCATTGGAAGTAAATGTCAGCATTCCTATGGTGGAGGGAACAATTGTTTATTTTTTGGCGTTATAAACAAAAATTAAGAGGAAACACATTCAATTAAATGCATGTTTATTTATAAATTTCCTCGAACACAAATTATGCCAAATAGAATCCCATTAATAGAATTCAATTCATTATAATAATATTGCATTTGACACATTTTAATCAATCACTTATCATCAATAGTACAAAATACAGTGTTCGAACGACTGGCATTATAATAATCATACATTTCTATGGCAACCGGTTTGCGATTCATGACATCATGCGTCTTATCAGCTAAAATTATAATACAATTCTCATCGCCAGCTTCTAAATTATCAAAATATATATTTAAACTTGATTCGGAATTCATTGATTCAATGCGTTGAATTAGTTCGTTTTCTAAAAGCGATTGACTAAATTCAGCATCGGTGCGATAACCAGATGGTAAATTTAATTTCATAATAACCATATTCGAAAATGACGTTTTATCATCCGATTTTGAATTGGCGGATGAAATCGTTTCCAAATAAGTAAAACAAATCTCAACATTAAGTTCTTGTAAATTCATAAATTGGGCTTTCGCTTGAATGCGGAAATGTTGCATTGGCATTTGTTCAGCCATGTAGTAAAGCGAGGAGAGCTGCAACATGGTTTGACCACTGCCGGTAGCTTTGAAATTAACAGAACGTGTAGAACGGGGTAACTGTAAGAAAAATAAATATATTTTTTTAAATTCTTATTTTTCCCAACAAAATTCCCTAGCCTTACCTTATGCGTGTGCAGTATGAGATTATTATCACCATTTATGGCAAAATCATCAGCTTTTACTTCGTTTCCCTTACCATCCAAGGCTGCATAGCGTAATGCCATTTGTTGGTTATTTCCATTGGCCGCATTCAATTGTGAATATTTTACAATGGCCTGTAGACCCATAACCGTATCATGTGTTGATTGGAAACCACCTTTACTATTTCGTTGTTGCATTAGCCATTGAAAAATTGCAGAATGATATTCATGCGGAGATATGTCCAAAAGAGCCAGGAGGGCGTATGCAGTAATTTCAACATCCTTTTCACCATTTTTATCATTAGCCGACCACCAACGTTGTTTATCCTTATCATTGACCTTTGCTAATAGTTTATCACGATCTTTTGGGGAATCTACATGTTTAGCCATTCCAAATGCCGCAGCGATAATTGACAGGGCATAGACATCATGATCTCTTTCCAAATTGTTACTCAAAAACTGAAGGCCCTTATTAATGGTGGCTGTATATTTTTTGGAATATTTCTGGAAAAAGAAAAGGAAAATACATGGAAATCTTGCTGAATTAAGTTGAACAAAATTTCGTGTCACTTATGAACTATATTTAAATGTGAACACATGAGTTTAGGCCCAATTTTGTAGATTGTACACAATTTTGTCTCAATAATATTAAAACTGGGAAATCGTTAAATACTATATATGGGAGCATTGTAAAGGCTTAAAAAAGTATTAAAAAATCCACGACTTCTAAAGAACTTAAAAAAGTTAATAAAAAAATCCACGCCTTCTAAAGAACTTTAAAAAATTATAAAAAAAATCAACGCCTTCTAAAGGACGTAAAAAATATTTAAAAATTCTACGCCTTATTAAGGAACTCGAAGAAATTATATAAAAAAATTAAATTCGTAAGGACCTCGAAAAAATTATTTAAAAAATTGGCGCCTTCTCAAGTACTTCAACATTTTTATACCCTTCACCACACTGTGGTACAGGGTATTATATCTTTGTGCATATGTTTGTAACAGGCAAAAGGAAACGAGATAGACACATGGTTCCTTTTGAGAATATGCATAGAATCACTTTCTAAGTCGATTTATGCATGCACGTCCGTCTGTCTGACTGTCTGTGCATGTTAAATTGTAAACAAAGTACAGGTAGAATTTATGATCTAAATTGGATGAAATTTGGCATAGGTCACTTATTCGGCCCAAGGGCGAACCCTATTGAAATTGGGAAAAATTGGTTCAGATTTAGATATAGCTCCCACATATATATATATATATATATATATTCGGCCCAAGGGCGAACCCTATTGAAATTGGGAAAAATTGGTTCAGATTTAGATATAGCTCCCACATATATATATATATATATATATATAACCGATTTAATGTAAACTTTCGATTTGCACGAAATTTGGTACAGCCTAATCATGTAGGTATAGAATTATGTCTGCCAAGTTTCGAGAAAATCGGTCCTGATTTCTATATAGCTCCCATATAAAGTTTCATCCGATATCATGTAAATGGTGCACCAAAGTCGCTATATATCTTTCGATTTGCACGAAATTTGGCATAACGTACTGAATCGAGCGTAGAGTGATGTCTGCCTTGTTTCGTGAAAATCGGTCCAGATTTAGATATAGCTCCCGTTTATTATAGATTGATTTTATGTAATAAATCGGCCCAGATTTAGATATAGCTCCCATATAAAGTTTCATCCGATATCATGTAAATGGTGCACCAAAGTCCCTATATATCTTTCAATATGCACGAAATTTGGCATAACGTACTGAATTGAGTATAGAATGATGTCTGCCAAGTTTCGTGAAAATCGGTCAAGATTTAGATATAGCTCCCATATATAGTTTCATCCGATTTCATGTAAATGGTGCACCAAAGTTCCTATATATCCTTCGATTTGCACGAAATTTGACATAACGTACTGAAATGAGCCTAGAGAGATGTGTACCAAGTTTCGAGAAAATCGGTCCTGATTTCTATATAGCTCCCATATAAAGTTTCATCCGATATCATGTAAATGGTGCACCAAAGTCGCTATATATCTTTCGATTTGCACGAAATTTGGCATAACGTACTGAATCGAGCGTAGAGTGATGTCTGTCTTGTTTCGTGAAAATCGGTCCAGATTTAGATATAGTTCCCGTTTATTATAGATTGATTTTATGTAATAAATTGGCCCAGATTTAGATATAGCTCCCATATAAAGTTTCATCCGATATCATGTAAATGGTGCACCAAAGTCCCTATATATCTTTCGATATGCACGAAATTTGGCACAACGTACTGAATTGAGCCTAGAATTATGTCTGCCAAGTTTCGTGAAAATCGGTCCAGATTTAGATATAGCTCCCATATATAGTTTCGTTCGATTTCATGTAAATGGTGCACCAAAGTCCACATATATCTTGCGATTTGCACGAAATTTGGCATAACGTACTGAATTGAGTATAGAATGATGTCTGCCAAGTTTCGTGAAAATCGGTCAAGATTTAGATATAGCTCCCATATATAGTTTCATCCGATTTCATGTAAATGGTGCACCAAAGTTCCTATATATCCTTCGATTTGCACGAAATTTGACATAACGTACTGAAATGAGCCTAGTGAGATGTGTACCAAGTTTCGAGAAAATCGGTCCTGATTTCTATATAGCTCCCATATAAAGTTTCATCCGATATCATGTAAATGGTGCACCAAAGTCGCTATATATCTTTCGATTTGCACGAAATTTGGCATAACGTACTGAATCGAGCCTAGAGTGATGTCTGTCTTGTTTCGTGAAAATCGGTCCAGATTTAGATATAGCTCCCGTTTATTATAGATTGATTTTATGTAATTGACGCACCAAGGAACCAATAGGCTGATAGGAACAAAACGTTCTGAAATTACTATAACCTAACCTGTGACATGTTTGTTTGGAATCGCTTAATATTTGGATAGAGCTTCCATATATATTTTCGCCCGATTTCAAGTAAATTGGGCATCAAATTCCTCATGTAGTCAGATTGACATCAAATTTTACACAACATACAAAATTGAGCATAGAATTACGTAGTTGCGTTTTCTAGAAGTACAGACATAGCTCAACGGATGACCTATTTATATTTCTTTAAAGTCGATTTACATACTTTATGGATAGATCTAGGTAGATTCACATTTATATAAATATCACATATTTTATTTCATCTAATTTCATGTTAATAGTCCTGTTAAATATATCCATAGTGGTGAAGGGTATCATATAGTCGGCCCCGTCCGACTTTACTACTTTCCTTACTGGTTTTATTTTTACTATTAAAATTTAATTCTCGAATAAAGATGTGAGCTTCGACGTCACCTAAGTTAACTTTTTCGGTAATATCACCCACAAAATCTGCTATCTTACCTTGTTCTCCATGAAAGTCATCAGAACAAATGCCGTGAAACCAAAACGATTTTGTTGTGCCGGATAGAATAGATATCCCGTGTAAGCAAAATCTCCATCCGCTTTCTGATTGCTGGCTAAATAATCCAAACCGCTGGTGATAATTTTTTCCTCAATTGAAACAAATGTGGCGGCTTTAAGAAAGAAACGTATAACATAGGCGGTTAACCATGTACTGGCTGCATCCTTATCACGACGTTCGCCGAAGACGCTATAACCCCCGGATGCGTGACGAAATGACAATTCCTGTTGATAGCCGATTTCCACAAATGCTTTAGCCTGTTTAATCAGATTTTTCTCTTGACCAAATTTACCAATGGCCTTGAGGTATTGCAGTAACAAAATGTTTGGTGCAAAATTAACCATATTTTGTTCTCCACAGCCGGTTGGTTTCATTACCAAGCCATTAAGATTTTCCATTGTGGCGGCGAGAGCATCACCACCCATTGACAGGGTAATATATTCAGAATCTACTACAATATTCGGTGGCACATTGAGACTTAAATTTGAGAATAGTTCATTTTGCGCTGCTGATATTCGAAGTACCAAAACTTGGTTATCACTATTTTCAGTACCTTCAGGTTCAACTTTCAGGTAGTGGAGAACAGCATCTGAGAGGTCTTCGGATGTTGTGGCACGTATCTGCAATTTTATATTTCCCACCATTTGAGGTGTTATTGTAAATGCAACGCTGTCAATGCCATTTGCTGGCAGTTTCACATGTTCGATTTGTTTTTTCATATCGCCAGCCTTAAAACGAAAAGCTTCCTCTTCATTGTACATTTGAACTTCGACACTTAAACTTTTGTTGTGATAATTGAACACTGTTATGGGTAGGGTAATCATTTCACCTCTCTTAACGGCATAGGGAAGGTTAATGTCTACAAAGAATGGTTTAATGGTCACAATATTGGTGGCATCATCGACAATACCGAAACCCGATTTATTGTGAATGCTAAATGCGGTCATACGCCAGGTGGTTATTGTATCGGGAATTTCCAATGTCAGCGCGGTTAATTCCTTTGTTCTGTAAGTTAAAACAAAAATATTATTTAATTTGTAATTTGTCTTCTGTTTTGATTTCTGAACATACATTTCAAGATTTTGAAATATCCATGTCTCGGGAAATTTTCTACGTAAACTTCCTTCTCCACTGATATTAATTGTTATAAAAAAATAATAATAAATATATAAGAACAAGAATGCAGGTAGTTTTGAGCCCAGTGGGGAAAGGGCGGAATATTTGGATATTTATCTCTAGTCATTGAAGAAGGCGTGGAGGTCCTTAGAAGGCGTCTAGGTCCTTAAAAGGCGTGGATTTTTTAAATCATTTTTTGGAGGTCCTTAAGAAGGCGTGGATTTTTTAAATCAATTTTTGGAGGTCCTTAAAAATGCGTGGATTTTTTAAATCATTTTTTGGAGGTCCTTAAGAAGGCGTGGATTTCTTAAATTAGTTTTTGGGGGTTTTTAAGAAGGCGTGGATTTTATAAATCATTTTTTGGAGGTCCTTAAGAGGGCATGGATTTTTTAAATCATTTTTTGGAGGTCCTTAAGAGGGCATGGATTTTTTAAATCAGTTTTTGGGGGTCCTTAAGAAGGCGTGGGTTTTTTAAATCAGTATTTGGAGGTCCTTAAGAAGGCGTGGCTTTTTTAAATCAGTTTTTGGAGGTCCTTCAGAAGGCGTGGATTTTTTTAAATCAGTTTTTGGAGGTCCTTAAAAAGGCGTGGATTTTTTAAATCACGTTTTGGAGGTCCTTAAGAAGGTGTGTATTTTTTTAAATCATTTTTTGGAGGTCCTTAAGAAGGCGTGGATTTTTTAAATCAGTTTTTTGGAGGTCCATAAGAAGGCGTGGATTTTTTAAAACCATTTTTTGGAGATTCTTAAGAAGGCGTGGATTTTTTAAATAATTTTTGGAGATCCTTAAGAAGGCGTGGATTTTTAAATAATTTTTGGAGATCCTTAAGAAGGCGTGGATTTTTTAAATAATTTTTGGAGATCCTTAAGAAGGCGTGGATTTTTAAATAATTTTTGGAGATCCTTAAGAAGGCGTGGATTTTTTAAATAATTTTTGGAGGTCCTTAAGAAGGCGTGGATTTTTTAAATCAGTTTGTGGAGGTCCTTAAGAAGGCGTGGATTTTATAAATCAGTTTTTGGAGGTGCTTAAGAAGGCGTTGATTTTTAATCAGTTTTTGGAGGTGCTTAAGAAGGCGTTGATTTTTAATCAGTTTTCGGAGGTCCTTAAGAAGGCGTAGATTTTTTAAATCATTTTCTAGAGGTCCTTAAGAAGGCGTGGATTTTTTAAATCAGTTTTTGGAGGTCCTTAAGAAGGCGCGGATTTTTTTTTTGAATCATTTTTTGGAGGTCCTTAAGAAGGCCTGGATTTTTTTAAATCATTTTTTGGAGGTCCTTAATAAGGCCTGGATTTTTTAAATCAGTTTTTGGAGGTCCTTAAGAAGGCGCGGATTTTTTTTTGAATCATTTTTTGGAGGTCCTTAAGAAGGCCTGAATTTTTTAAAATTGTTTTTTGAAGGTCCTTAAGAAGGCGTGGATTTTTTTAAATCATTTTTTGGAGGTCCTTAAGAAGGCGTGGATTTTTTAAAGAATATTTTTTCAAGGGCCTTAAGAAGGCGTGGATTTTTTAAAGAATATTTTTTCAAGGGCCTACAGAAGGCGTGGATTTTTTAAAGAATATTTTTTCAAGGGCCTTAAGAAGGCGTGGATTTTTTTAAATAATTTTTTGGAGTTCCTTAAGAAGACGTGAATTTTTTTAAATCACTTTTTTGGAGGTCCTTAAAAATGCGTGGATTTTTTTAAATCATTTTTTGGAGGTCTTTAAGAAGGCGTGGGTTTTTTTAAATCATTTTTTGGAAGTCCTTAAGAAGGCGTGGGTTTTTTTAAATCATTTTTTGGAGGTCCTTAAGAAAGCGTGGGTTTTTTAAATCACTTTTTTAGAGGTCCTTAAGAAGGCGTGTATTTTTTAAATCACTTTTTTAGAGGTCCTTAAGAAGGCGTGTGTTTTTAAATCATTTTTTGGAGAAGGCGTTTATATTTTAAATAATTTTGTGGAGGTTTAAGAATAATTTGTTGAGATCTGTGAAATACTTTTTTGAGGTCTTTTAAAAGGCGTTGAATAATTTGTTAAGGTCCTTAAGAAGGCGTGGATTTTTTAAATATTTTTTGAATGGCGTGGATTTTTAAGGTTATTTATTTTTTGTTATTTATTTTCTGTTTTGAGGTCATTGAGAAGACGTCGCGTTTTTTGGGGGGTCATTGAGAAGACGTGTATTTTGTGGTCTTTGATAAAACTTGGATTTTTAAAATAACTTTTTTTTAAAATATTTTACTTTTTTAAATAATTTTTTGTGGTCTTTTGTAAATAACACATTGTGGTCCTTGAATTTTAAGATATTGTTGAAAACCCCTGTATGTCACTCGTACCCACAATGTTTACATAGTACCAGGGTTTAAAATGCAGCATCAAAAATATTAGCATTAGTCTTACTACTGCTAAAAAATATTGACATTATGACTAAATCAGCAAACGGCTAGCATTTTTAGTTCGTAGCATCCGTGCTAAAGTAGGCCACACACCTCAAACATGTGCGTTCGATCGGTGTGAAGCTCCTAGCCCACACACGTCAAACGGATCCATTAAACTTCATTTCATATTTATTTTTGAAGCGTGAAGATGGACCGCGATAGTGATGACGGAAAAAAGATGAAATATTTTTATTTAATATAAATGTATTAAATACTTTTACTTTATTCCGGGAAAAAAACATTTTTATTTGGCACACAGTAGAATATGTGTAAAAATATCAAAAAATCTTCCAAATACATATGTATTGCATTTGTCCGCTGATCCGCACTCCACGAAATTTCTCAACAAATGAGAAAATATCCACACACCAGGCCACAGACGTCAAACATGTGCGCGTCGCACAACGAAAAATTAAAAATTTTTAATTTCTTTCGATCGGTGTGCGCACCGGCAAATCGGTGTGAACACCGTACCACACACGTCAAACATTGCTTCGATTCACACCGATCGAACGCACATGTTTGACGTGTGTGGGCCACTTTAGTCTTCATTGTAAGCTTTGGTTGTTAGTCGCGTTGACAATTATGTTGTAGTTGTTCATTGCTATTTTGTAGCTGCTGACAAAATCAAGAAGCTTTATTTTTGCTTGCTAAAATTATTCGTAATGTATTGCTATTTGTTGCAGTTGTGATTGGCTGTGCTGCATATTTTGAGGATGACTTTAGTTAGCAGTGCGGCAATTTTCTGTGTTTTTGCTATTTTGGCGTTAGCATTTTAAACCCTGCATAGTACATATAATTAAATTAGTCGCACATACACACACACACACTCCTTACCTGTAACCTCAGTATATGGATAATGGGCATTAGTAAATGTCAAAAGCCCCGAAATTATACCAGGATAAAATTTGGACTTTAACGGACTATATGTCAAATCATCTCGTAATTCGTTTAGTATTTGTGTTCTATCCAGATCATATTCTCTATTTAAATTATAGACACCCAAATCCACAGCTAATAGACATACATATGAATTCGGTTGAGCCTTTATGTTAATGGTGACATTTTGTCCAGGTCGGACTTCATGTGGCGCTGAAATTTCAACCTAAAGATAAAAATATTAATTTCCATATAAAAACGTATTTAATGCGTTCTTACCTTATTTTCAAATTCATTTGGGAATTTCAAAAACATTTCCTCATATCGATAATTTCCTTCGTAAATATAATGAACATACAAATAGGCTGCAGGCATCATTTCTATTGTTGGCATTAATTGAATTATGTAAGATTTTTGTTCGGATGGTATTTTAATGAATTCCGTTTGTATGATATTTCCATGACCAGTTACGGTATATACAATATATGGTATATTTTTTAAGGAGGAAACTTTAATTTCAATCATTTTGCCAAGTTGAGGACTAAAAGGAGAAAAAGATGAAGTAATAAAAAAAAATGTAATTTAGGAATTGCATTAGCAGGAGGGTTAAGTCCGGCCCCAAGAGTTTGTAACGCCGCGAAATATTGGTCCTAGACCCACCTTTAAGTATACCGATCGTCATATCTAGACATGTGTGTCCGTCCGTTTGTCCATTATAATTTGTAAACACGATACAGGCCACAGTTATGGACCAATCTTCACGAAATTTCGCATGTAGGATGGGTTTTGGCCAATGAAGACCCCTATTGTTTTTGAAGACCCCTATTGTTTTTGAAGACCCCTATCGGTTAATATTTAGGGGATGAAATAGATCAAAAACTTTATTTTTGTCGGTTTTTATGGCCCAAACACCGCGAATTTTTCCATGGAGAAGGGAATTGGGCCAAAGAATAAGCATGCATGTTTTGATAAGAATCGGTCAATATTTAGCGGGTCAAATGGACCCTGACTTTTGTGTGAAAAATTACAAAATTTGTATTGTATGGCATATATATTTACTCCTGTACCAATTATATTGTCGTGTGTACTCGGATGTAGGAGTTACACTTAAATATTTACAGGTGCTTACGTATTCCGACATTATTTAGTAACCCATTAGCACACTAGAGGGCGGAAATATATCGCTAATCGCTTTGTAATTTTCCACGAGATTCCCGTTATGATCAACGACAACGCCTATAATTTTGGGATGAAGTGGACCGAAAACTTATTTTTTGTGTTTTTGTTTTCGAGTCGATCTGTAGGCCACAATTGAAAGCCCAACATCACAACATAACCCACGGTAAAGAGAATCTGGACAAGTACACCCCTCGTCTACTGAAATATTTGTTGACATCTAGTTGGTCAAGAGGGTGCAAATATCGCGAAATATTGCCCAAGCTCTGAATATAGAACCATATAAAGTTAGATTTTCGTCGAAGTTGTGTAGGGTATCATATGGTCGGCCCCGTCCGATTATACTGCCCCGCTCACTGGTTTTATAATCAGCAAGAGATAGTTAAATATTTTCAGATCACACAACAATCCTAGACTAGGTGAAGAGTATGTTCTACTGTGGGATATATAGCGAAGCTTAATAACTTCTCTTTTCAAAATAACCTATCTAGATGTATGCCTTTCTATTCCTCTTAGAAAGGCATACATCTAGATAGGTTATTTTGAAAAGAGAAGTTAAGAAGTTATTATTAAGAGTCTGGTTTTATTTCGACTTGATGAGCTTGTATAACATTGTAGTTAATTTAATTGTGCTAAACATCTTAGTATCTCTTTAGCTCAGCAGAACTTAGCACTCTTTTGTATTTATCATCACTCACCTGCCACTAAGTAAAGTCAATTTACAAAAATCCTCCTTATTATTATTATTATCCACAGCATCATCAGCATTGTAGATATTCGGTAACATTGCTAAAGAATCTCGATATTTGAATATATGTTTCTCCTCGGAATTATGTTCAAAATCAAATACCGCTACACCATCATCATTCAACTGTGACTGGTAGGTCCGCTCACCATGTATCATATAGACCGGTTCACTGGGATCTCTAACAGCAGTACCATTCCATTGTTGCACTTTAATTTTCAGACGATATGGTTTACCATCTTTAAAATCAATATCTGATGATTCTACAATTACATTATATTCTTGTTGTTGGACATTGACAAAACTAAATGTTGATTCTGAACGTCCGCTGTGTTTTTCGGTAATTTGAACATAAAGTGTTATACTCTTATATATCATATATTTTTCGAAGTTTTTAATTTCTATATCCAGTGTTTCTATGCCATTCACATTTACTTTTTGTTCTGGCGTTATGAGATTTCCCAAAGTATCTGTTGCTCTTACTGTAGCAATACCCTCAACAAATTTTCCAAAATTATATTTTCCATAGAATTTTAAATGGACAATTGGATTAGCCGGAGTAACAGACGGTTCATTTTCAATTGTTACATAGAATTTCGGAAGGATATATTTTTTCACCTTAAACGTCTTCGAATGAGAATGTCCATATTTGCCACTAATGAATACCGCAATTTTCCATATACCGAGTGCAGGATATTCCGATAAATTGAATTTATTTGTAAAGACACCATGAATGAGGGAAATATCTTTGAATTGCTTAACGCGATTTTCGTTGGCATCCTGTAATAAAAAACCAGTAAGGAAAGTAGTAAAGTCGGGCGGGGCCGACTATATGATACCCTTCACCCCTATGGGTATATTAAACAGGACTATTATCATGAAATTGTATGAAATAATATATGTGATATTTATGTAAATGTAAATCTACCTAGATCTATCCATAAAATATATAAATTGACTTCAAACAAATATAAATAGGTCATCCGTTGGGCTATGTCTGTACTTCTAGAAAACGCAACTGCGTAATTCTATGCTCAATTTTGTAAGTTGTGCAAAAATTGATGTCAAACTGACTAATAATTTACTTGAAATCGGGCGAAAATATATATGGAAGCTCTATCCAAATATTAAGCGATTTCAAACAAACTTGTCACAGGTTAGGTTATACTAATTGGTGGTGCACCATTTACATAAAATCGGACGAAACTATATATGGGAGCGATATCTTAATCTGGACATATTTTCTCGAAACTTGGCAGACATCACTCTAGGCTCAATTCAGTGCGTTATGCCAAATTTCGTGCAAATCGAAACAATTATAGGGACTTTGGTGCACCATTTACATGAAAACGGACGAAACTATATATGGGAGCTATATCTAAATCTGGACCGATTTTCAAGAAACATAGCAAATCATTCTAGGCCTAATTCAGTACGCTATGCCAAATTTCGTGCAAATCGAAGGATATATGGGGACTTTGGGGCACCATTTATATTAAATCGGACGAAAATATATATGGGAGCTATATCTAAATCTGAACCGATTTTTCCAATTTCAATAGGGTTCGTCCTTGGGCCAAATGAATGAACTGTGCCAAATTTCATCCAATTCGAATAATAAATGCGGCCTGTACATTGTTTACAATTTAACATGGACAGACGGACGGACAGACGAACATGCGTAATTCGACTTAGAAAGTGATTCTATGCATATTCTCGAAAAGAACCATGGGTCTATCTCGATTCCTTTTGCCTGTTACAAACATATGCACAAAGACATAATACCCTGTACCACAGTGTGGTGAAGGGTATAAAAAATGTAGGATAGGTCCGAAAATATACTAACGATTGGACAAGTGGGAATTATTAAAAAATGTCAACCTTTTTAATAATTTCCACAAATTTTCGCAAAAAACGTGTATGCCAGAAGAACTTATAAAACTACACACCAATATCGACCATTTTAGTACCATAAATTTGTTGTCTTAAAGTATGTATATCCAAAAGCGCCTCCATATCTCCATTAATAAAATAGAAATCTTATTTCCCAATTTTTTCGATTCTATTTAAACCAAATCCAAATTGTATCATTTAGTACACATAAGTACGAATTTCCAAAACTTTCTACATACCTCAGTCCTACACCCCAACATTGATCCTATCTCCAAATTTCAGTATTCCTGCATAGTCGATTCACCATAAAGTAAATTTGTACCAAATTTAGTACAATCCTGCATCCCAATCCTGCATCACAACTGTGATCATAACACCAATTTTCAACATTCCAGCTTTATCGGTTCTTCCAACAAAACTATTCCAAATTTTGTACAAATTAAAAAAAAACGTTCTACATACCTCAGTCCTACACCCCAACTTTGATCCTATCTCCAAAATTCAGTGTTCCAGCTCTACCGATTCACCTAAATTCAAATTCTACCAAATTTAGTACCATTTAGTACACGTTAATAGAAATTTCCAAAACTTCCTACGTACTCCAATTCTACACCCCAACACTGATCCTAACTCAGATTTCAGGTTTCCAGCTCTATCGATTCAACTAAAATTCAAATTGTACCAAACTTAGTAGATATTTCCAAAACCACCTACATGTCTCAATCCAACACCCCAACAGTGATCCTCAATCCAAATTTCAGGATTCCAGCTCTATTGATTCAACCAAAATTCAAATTGTACCAAATTTAGTACACATAAGTACGAATTTCCCAAACGCAAATACAGTAGTAATCTTATTTCCTACTTACTTAGCTGGCTTGTTACAGAACGGTTGTTCCATAAGCCGTAGATCTTTCGGAGAATTTTTCTCTCAAACACCCCAAGAGCTGCCTCATCTGCTTGCGCAAGTACCCATGCTTCTGATCCATATAATAGCACGGGTAGTATCAGCGTCTTGTAAAGTGTGAGTTTGGTCTGGCGGGAGGTGGCCTTGTTTCTAAACTGCTTACTTAGACCATAGTAGCATCTGTTGGCCATCACAATCCTTCTCCGAATTTCAAAACTGATGTCATTCGTTTTATTTATGGCGGTACCAAGGTATATAAAGTATTTAACTACCTAAAAGCTATAGTTCTCAAGTTCCACAGTTGGTCCGAGTCTACTGGACGTCTTGCGCGTTGATACCATCAGCTTGGTTTTCTCGCCGTTTACTGCCAGACCCTCTTTGGCAGACTCCTTTTCAATTTGTTCAAAGGTGGCTGTTACCGCTCGCAATGTTCGACCCATTATATCGATGTCATCGGCGAGTAACATGTGTTGTTTGGTGTACAGAGTGCCATTTCTGTTAACCTTTTCGTCTCGTATGACCTTTTCCAGTAGGATGTTAAAAAGATCACACGACAAACTGTCACCTTGTCTGAATCCTCGTTCGGTATTGAAGGGCTCCGATAGGTCCTTTCCTACCTTAACTGCTGACCTTGTGCCACTTAAAGTTATCATGCATAGCGGTATTAATTTTGCAGGAATGCCGAACGCAGACATGGCTTTAAACACCTCTGAACGGATAGGGCTGTCGAATGCGGCTTTATAGTCGACAAATAGGTGGTGTGTCGCCAGGATTTGGCGCAGAGTGAAAATCTGGTCAATAGTGGATTTGCTAGGTCTGAAGCCGCATTGGTATGGTCCGATGATGTCATTGACCATTGGCTTCAATCGTTCAAACAGCACACTGGATATGCGATGGAGACTTATTCCTCTATAGTTGGCACATATCGTCTTGTCTCCTTTTTTGTGCACGGGTCACGGGATGCTGAGGTTCCAATTATTGGGCATGCATTCATCTAGCCAAATTGTGCTAATCAGCTGGTGCATGCTCCTACCAGCATCTGGCCACCAGTCTTGAATAGTTCGGCTGGTAATCCATCGGCTCCTGCTGTTTTGTTGTTCTTGAGCCGATTAATTGCTTTTATGACCTCATCTTGGCAAGTTGGTATACACTCTATACCATCATCTCTTATTGGTTCTGGGGTATCTTCTTCATCGCCACTATTTGATACTAGAAGCTTTTCGAAATGCTCCTTCCAGATCATCAACACGCTGTCATTCATCCAGTTTTTTAGACGTCCTATCGATCCGAGGAACAAATATCGTTTCGGATCATTACCTTGTGGCAGCCAAGGTACGCACCCGTCTTAATGTTGCAGCAAAGGTGCGATCTAATACAACACGGAAACTCGACGTCGAAAAGCTGCAAACACAACAGGTAGCCGAGGCCTACTCCGCTCAACTTACCCATCTGCTTGAAGAAAACACTTTTTGTCCCCTACAAACTGCAGCAAAAAGAACAATTGGGTACCAAAAACCACCACCAAGAAACCCATGGTACGATCAGGAGTGTCGTAATGCTACTGATGTGAGAAACGCAGCGTATAGGGCAACCCTGCAGACAGTAGCAACACGTAACGTGATGGAGAATTATCGTGAGAAAAGGAGAGAGGAGAAACGTGTTTTCAGAAAAAAAGACAAAAGAAGAAGAAAAACGTGAAGGTGAGCAAATCGAGGGTGAATCAGAATGAAGTCCGGAAATTTTACCAACAAGTAAAACACCAAACCGAAGGCTTTGGTGCAGGCACATCCTCCTGTAGAGATGAGGAAGGAATCTTATTTCCTACATATCGCTATATTACACTCCGGATCAGGATCCCAGCTCCATTTGTACATCCGAATTAAAAGTGTACCAAATATAGTACCATATTGTACTTTTCGTATACATGAGTGCACGTTTTCAAAACCATCTCCTGATATCGACCCTACTTTACAACTTTAATTCACATTCCAAATTTCAAGTTTTTTAGCGCTATCCGTTCACATGCTACGAAATCGTACTTAATTTAGTACATTTTCGTACTTTTAGGATATATATATATATATATAATTCGAATTTCCAAAAGCCAGAGTGCAAAGACATAAACAAAGACATAGAAAACGTAAAGACTCGACAAAATGCATTTTGACAAAATAGTTTATGAAAAAATATCCAGGGGGTATCAGGTATAACAGAGGCATGTTAAGAATAAAAACGCTAATACGCGAAAATGTGTGCATAAAATGGAAATAAAATCAGAGATCCGCACATAAAATATATATTTTTATTTTATAAGCTTGCTATATAGCGATTAAAACGTTTAATATTGTTCGGTCTGTTGTTATGATATCGTAACAACAGAGGAAAAGCCATCTATTGGAAATTGTTGACGTATCGATTGTCCTATCTTTATACTTTTATGTCTTTGACATAAAAGTATAAAGATAAGACAATCGATACGTAAGCAATTTCCAATAGATGGCTTTTCCTCTGTTGTTACTATATCATAACAACACAGTAAACATTTTAGGAAGTATATCGCAAGCTTGTAATATAAAATCATATATTTTGAGTGCAGATCTCAGATTTTATTTACGTTTTATACACACATTATCGCGTATTGATGTTTTTTTTCCTAACATGACTCTCTTATACTTGGCTCCCCCTGGATATTTATACTCTTCACCACACTGTGGTACAGGGTATTATGTCTTTGTGCATATGTTTGTAACAGGCAAAAGGAAACGAGATAGACACATGGTTTCTTTTGAGAATAAGCATAGAATCACTTTTTAAGTCGATTTATGCATGTCCGTCCGTCCGTCCGTCTGTCCATGTTAAATTGTAAGCAAAGTACAGATCGCATTTATTATCCGAATTGGATGAAATTTGGCATTGGTCACTTATTCGGCCCAAGGACGAACCCTATTGAAATTGAGAAAAATCGGTTCAGATTTAGATATAGCTCCCATATATATAGTTAACCGGTTTAATGTAAACGGTCCCTATATGTCTTCCGATTTGCAGGAAATTTGGTACAGCCTAATCATTTAGGTCTAGAATGATGCCAGCCAAGTTTCGTGAAAATCGGTCCACATTTAGATATAGCTCCCATATATAATTTCGTCCGATTTCATGTAAATGGTGCACCAAAGTCCCTATATATGTTTCGATTTGCACCAAATTTGGCATTACTTACTTAACTGAGCCTACAATGATGTCTGCCAAGTTTTGAGAAAGTCGGTGTAGATTTAGATATAGCTCCCATATATAGTTTCGTCCGATTTCATGTAAATGGTCCACCGTAGTCCCTATATATCTTTCGATTTGCTCGAAATTTGGCATAACGTACTGAATTGAGCCTAGAGTGATGTCTGCCAAGTTTTGAAAAAAATCGGTTCAGATTTAGATATACATCCCATATATAGTTTCGTTCGATTTCATGTAAATGGTGCCCCAAAGTCCCTATATATCTTTCGATTTGCACGAAATTTGTTATAGCGTACGGAATAAAGTCTAGAATGGTGTGTGTTAAGTTTCAAGAAAATTGGTTCCGATATAGATATAGAGCTCATATATATTTTCGTCCGATTTAAGGAAAATGGTGAACCAAAGTCCCTAAACATCTTTCGATTTGCACGAAATTTGGCATATCGTACTGAATGAAGTATAGAATGATCTGTGTTAAGTTTCCTGAAAATCGCTCCAGATTTAGATATAGTTTCCATATACATTTTCGTCCACATATATCTTTCGTAATGAACTTAGTATAACCTATAAGTTATATATAAATGCTGCACCGAATTCCCCAGTGGGTCCGATTGGCATAAAATTTTGCACAACTTATTGAAGTTATTATGAGATAACGTGGATATAGTTCCTATATATAGGTTCGTCAGATTTTAAGTAAAATGTGCACCAAAGACCCAAAGTTATATAGTTTATATAACCTATATAACTTATATACATATTTTCATCCTATTTGAAGTAAATGGTGTACCAAACTCCTCATGTTTATCAGATATGTATCCAAATAATCAACGGATATCCGATTGATATATGCTTTAAATTGATTTACGTAATTTTGTCCCATTGAAAAGAATCAACTCTATATCTGACCAAATGAAAAATTTAGTATAGGTTGCAGAAAGACATGTTTATGGGTCCAATTTCATTTTCATGCGACGTCTGTTAAGATTCATCTGTTGTATATAGCCAAAGTGGTGAAGGGTATCATATAGTCGGCCCCGTCCGACTTTACTTCTTTCCTTACTCTTTTTTAATAAATTTTGTCAAAAAGCGCTTTGTCGAGTATTTACGGTTTCTATGTTTTTGCACAGTGTTACCGTTACATCATCAGTTATTAATCGGACAAAGCTTACATGCACAGACATAAATAGAGGCATTGTCAGGTTTCATAATGTTTTAACCCTTTCAGTGTCAAGGAAAATTTTTGTCGGAATAAAAATCTAAAATGTTGTACTTAAAATCATATGAAGGCCCAGAGTTTAGAAAAAAAATCAATTCTTATTTTTACCCTCGGAAAGTTTTGTCTATCTTTGAGCAAAAATAAAGACAACAACTGTAACGGTACATAGGATATCCGAAAAATTGCAAAGGAAGAAAGTAAATTTAAATATCGAATATATTCGACAAAAACACTGAAAGGGTTAATTATGTTCTTATTTAATTTGCCAAACTTACCATTATCTCCACACGAATCGGTTCAGTGACGTTCAACGGTCTTGTATGTTCATCAAGGACAACAACACGAAATTGCACCAAATCTAATGGCTTATAGATGGCTTTATCAGTTTGTATGTATATTTTTGGACCGGCATTCTCCTCCACATACAACAAAGTTTCATTTTTAAATGACAACCCATTCAAACCTTCGGCGTAAAACATGTGGGTACCTCGTATCAGTTTTGTTGGCATAAAATCGATTTGTTGCGATTCGAATGGTTGTAGAACAATATTTTCAGTTTGATTGTATGATGGTCCAATGATACCACAACGTATTGTAGCCGGTTCGGTGGCATTGTGTAGCGTTACAACAACACTATATTTACGATTTGATTTAAGTGTGCCGGGGGCAATGATAGAATAGTGACTGCAGCGAACGCAAAAGGGAGAGAGAGAAAAAAAAACAAGAAATATAAATCACGTGACTTCAGAACTTAATAGATGTACATGAGTCGCGTGGGAACCTACATACCTCTGATCACCGAACACTAGACCGAGCCTAAGTGTTATTATGACAAAAAATATTTGTAAAATATGCGTCATCTTGGTGTTGCGGGTTTTGTTCGTAATAATTCAATTTGCAATTTGTCCGCATTTGTGAACTGCTTGTGCGAAGTGTAAGTCTGATACTGATAGAATGATGTTGAGATTATCGTTTTCAATTGTAAAACACATTATTATGCATATTTTTAAATCTGAGTAATAAATATTATTAAACGTATATTTTAGTATTAAATGCCCCTATATGCTAAAACAAGATATGCTAAATTGATCTTCATTGAAGTTATGATCTGAAATAATTGTATTCAAATTAAAATTAAAAGAGGCCATAATAAATGAACAGGTTTTTAACAATTAGAAAGTGATGGTAGACAGGCGGGGTGACAATATTTTTGGTCATATCGAATATATGCCAGTACATAAAATATAGATTTTTATTGAAATTATTTTTTATACCCTTCACCACACTGTGGTGCAGGGTATTATGTCTTTGTGCATATATTTGTAACAGGCAAAAGGAATCGCGATAGACCCATGTTTCCTTTTGAGAATATGCATAGATTCACTTTCTAAGTCGATTTACGTATGTCCGTCCGTCTGACCATTTTAAATTGTAAAGAAAGTACAGGTCGCATTTATTATTCGAATAGGATGAAATTTGGCCCAAGGACGAACCCTATTGAAATTGGGAAAAAATTGGATCAGATTTAGATATAGCTCTCAATGGTGCACCAAAGTCCCTAAAGGGGACTACTGAATAAGGCCTAGAATGATGTGTGCCAAGTTTCTTGAAAATCGGTTCAGATTTAGATATAGCGCCCATATATATTGTCCTCCGATTTAAGGTAAATGGTGCATCAATGTTCTTAAATATCTTTCGATTTGCACGAAATTTGGCATAATGTACTGAATTGAGCCTAGAGTGATGTTTGCCAGGTTTCGAGAAAATCGGTCCAGATTTAGATATAGATCCCATATATAGTTTCGTCCGATTTAAGGTAAATGGTGCACTAATGACCCTATATATCTGCCATTTTGCACGAAATTTGGTGCAACGTACTAAATTGAACCTAGAATGATGTCGCCAAGTTTCGTGAAAATCGGTCCAGATTTAGATATAGCTCCCATATATAGTTTCGTCCGATTTCATGTAAATGGTGCACCAAAGTCCCTATATATCTTTCGATGTGCACCAAATTTGGCATAACGTACTGAATTGAGCCTAAAGTGACGTCTGCCAAGTTTAGAGAAAATCGGTCCAGATTTAGATATATCTTTCATATATAGTTTCGTCCGTTTTCATGTAAATGGTGCACCAAAGTCGCTATATATCTTTCGATTTGCACCAAATTTGGCATAACGTAATGAACTGAGCATTAAGTGATGTCTGCGAAGTTAAGTTAAAATCTGTCCAGACTTAGATATAGCTCCCATATATAGTTCCGTCCGATTTTATGTAAATTGTGCACAAAAGTCCCTATATATCTTTCGATTTGCACGAAATTTGGCATAACGTACTGAATTGCGCGAGTGATGTTTGTCAGAGTGATATTTGTCATGTTTCGTGAAAATCGGTCCAGATTTATTTTCCAGCCCGATTTTAAGTAAATTGGACATAAAACTCCTCATGTTAGTCAGATTGACATCATAGTTTGCACAACGTACAAAATTGAACATAGAATTATGTAGTTGCGTTTTCCAGAAGTACATACATAGCTTGGAGTCGATTCACAGTTAGATAAATATCACATATTTTATTTCATCCAATTTCATATTAATAGTCCTGTTTAATATACCCATAGTGGTGAAGGGTATCATATAGTCGGCCCGTTTAATAGTGTATTTCAAAAGATGGACAGACGGACATTGCTAAATCGCCATAGAATTTTACTCTGATTATTATGTACTTTATTTATAGATGTGATGAAGAATATTAAAATGACTGCTATCGCCATCTATAAACTAAGTAGTGTTCTGACCCGTTCCTATAAATTTTGCATAACGAATTGCCAGCCTACAATAAATGCCGGGTGAATGTCTTTGCTTACATTGAAAAACAATGGTTAACAAAGCCATTAACGTATAAAGATAAGGCAATTGATACGCCTACATAAACATGCCATTCGTTTGTTACAATGTGACAAAAGTATGTAAATCGATATTTGTTTGAAATATCAATAGGTCATCCGTTGGGCTACGTCTGTACTTCTAGAAAATGCAACTACGTTATTCTATGCTCAATTTTGTACTAAATCTCAACTGATTTTCACGAAACTTGCCAGACATCACTCTAGGCTCAGTTCAGTACGTTATGCCAAACTTCGTGCAAATCGAAAGATATATAGGGACTTTGGTGCACCATTTACATGAAATCGGACGAAACTATATATGGGAGCTATATCCAAATCTGGACCGATTTTCTCGAAACGTGGCAGACATCATTCCGGGCTCAAATTCGTGCAAATCGAAGTATATATAGGGACTTTGGTGCAGCACTTACATGAAATCGGACGAAACTATATATGGGAGCTATATCTAAATCTGGACCGATTTTCTCAAAACTTGGCAGGCATAATTCCAGGCTCAATTCCGTACGTAATACTAAATTTCGTGCAAATCGAAAGATATGTAGGGACTTTGGTGCACCATTTACCTAAAATCTTGCGAAACTATATATGGGAGCTATATCTAAATCTGGACCGATTTTCTCAAAACTTGGCAGACATAATTCCAAGCTCAATTCCGTACGTAATACTAAATTTCGTGCAAATCGAAAGATATGTAGGGACTTTGGTGCACCATTTACCTAAAATCGTGCGAAACTATATATTGGAGCTATATCTAAATCTGGACCGATTTTCTCAAAACTTGGCAGACATAATTCCAAGCTCAATTCCGTACGTTATACTAAATTTCGTGCAAATCGAAAGATATATAGGGACATTGGTAGACCATTAACCTAAAATCGGGCGAAGCTATACATATATGAGAGCTATATTTACATCTGAGCCGATTTTCACGAAACTTAGCATTCATTCTAGACCTAATTCAGTAGGCTATGCAAAAATTCGTGCAAATTAAATGATTTTCAGGGACTTTGGTGCACCATTTACCTAAAATCGGGCGAAGCTATATGGGAGCTACATCTAAATCTGAACCGATTTTCAGGAAACTTAGCACACATCATTCTAGATCTAATTCAGTAGGCTATACCAAATTTCGTACAAATCGAAGTATATATAGGGACTTTGGTACACTATTTACCTTAAATCGGGCGAAACTATATATGGGAGCTATATCTAAATCTGAACCGATTTTCACGAAACTTAGCACACGTCATTCTAGACTTAATTCAATACGCTATGCCAAAATTCGTGTAAATCAAATGATTTTCAGGGACTTTGCTGCAGCATTTACCTAAAATCGGGCAAAACTATATATGGGAGCTATATCTAAATCTGAACCGATTTTCATGAAACTTGGCACACATCATTCTAGACCAAATCCAGTAGGCTATACTAAATTTCGTGCAAATCGAAAGATATTTAGGGACTTTGGTATCCCATTTACCTTAAATCGGACGAAAATATATATGGGAGCTATATCTAAATCTGGACCGATTTTTCCCAATTTCAATAGGGTTCGTCCATGGGCCAAACAAGTGAGCTGTGCGTTAAGTTGGATACCCTCCACCATAGGTATACGGAAAGGTACTTGAAATTAAAATATCGGGAACATACCAAAAAGTGGACCTATACCGATCTACAAACCGATTTATGTAAACCATTATGTACAACAAATACATGGAGATTTTTCCTAAAATCTGAAAAGCCCCAAACGTGGACAAATATTGATAACACTTGTTAGAGTGGAACATATGTATAAAATCCTCAAACTACTGAAATTTAGAGATCATAGCAATATGAGGCTATGCCTCAAGGGGGACCAATATTGATTACATAACTAGGAATTAGCAAATATTTGACGTTATCATTATATAAGAGCTGTGCCTCAATATTTTAGTTTTGTATCTCAATTCTTTCTTTTAGGAGGTATCACTATATGAAGGAGATGCCTAAATGCCTGCCGATATATTTCATTATCGCCAGGTTAAAACTAACTATGGTAAAAACTGACTATTTCGAGTAACGACTATCCCCCACAATATGACAGAATACGCCTATATGGGGCCAACCCCAACAAACGGAACAAATCAGCTCACTATCTTTATATAAACCAGTAAGGTTGATATAAAAATAGTTAGTTAACATGGGCAGACAGACAGTATCTTGAAAAGTTTTATGTGAGTACCTGCCTATTGGCCTAACTCACAGTGACTGAGCCACAGGCGGAAAATCGACCACCAGCGCACCAGCACCGAAGTACTTCCCAGGGGGCCACACCAACTGTCAGGCTGGACCAATAATCCAGGGGCACCTGACACCCGCGGTACGGAAAACCTCCGCTCAGGCTCCGCAAATGGCAAGGAAAAACCTAGCCACAAGCAGTGACAAATACACAAATCACAAACAATTAACATGCTGTCCTCACGGACTGCACAAAGGGCCCAAAGGACCGCGGTATCGGACATCACAACACAAACAATGAACAAAACTGCCCTCACGGACAGCCTACACTACATCCACAGGACGAGTGAAGCACATAAGTGGAAACCACGAACCACCCACGATGCACAGACAACCGCAGGCAGCACATAAACCACCTACAACCGCCGATAACCTCACCAAGACCAGCGAATTCGGTTGAAAAGCGCGCTTAAGAACCACAGAATATCGAAAATTGGGGGTACCCTTATATGGAGGCTATACGAAAACATGTACCTTTATTTATAATTTTTTTGTGGAGAGATTTTCTACCCAATAAATACTCAAAGTACTAAATTACAGCCAATTCGGTCGAAAAATGCGATAAAAACCCCCAAAATTCTGAAAATTAGGGCGTACCGTTATAAGGGACTACCGGAAAAAGTGGTCCTATATTAATAATTTATTTTTCAGAGAGATTTGTTACCCGTTGTACCA